TACATTTATGTATTGAACAGGATCCCGGAGAGGAGAAGTTCATTTTATATTGATCGTCGTAAACGAACTAGTCCTCGGTTAATTATTGCATTCTCTTAACCCGTAAGATATTTAACAGACATATATATGCAATATATATTATTTTGATTCGTTTGGGTGAGGTTCAATTTGCTGAATTAATATTCCTACTGTCTTGGGTAATATTACTGTATGTATGATGTGTTGTTAAGATATTTACGATCACCACGTACGTTTAGTTTGATGATGTCCCCGAAGTGAGTTCATGAATTATTATTATGCTAAACTCTGTAGATGGATTAATTTTCGGCCTTGTAATAATGTGATGAACGAGTGCTATCTTCGGTGAAATAATAATATATTAATTAATTCTTGATTATCGGTAATAGAATTAATTTATGGACATTATATCTTAAACATGAGGAGGTAATTCGGGTAATTATAAATATTGGAGTCTCAATTGTAAATTGGGCTAGAAAAAAAGAGTGCAATAATATTATATTAGTGACACATAATATTATTAAATTAGTCGGAAGAGTGGGGCAAGTCCACAATTAGTCCAATTACAAGAAACTTCAGAAAATATGATGGTAAAATGTGTCATTTAAACCTTGTTTTTTGTCACATCAAAACAATAATGACGAAATTTTATCGTCACAGAGATCGTCAACGTAGCCACATCATATTAGGTGTAAGCATTGTTCGACTGGCTAACAGGTACCGGTTTCGCAGGTTAGGCGGTTTCAGCTTTTGAAGGTGGAAGGTTGGAAGACTAGAAGCTTTTGAATGTACATCCCAAAATTGTCAATTAAATAGCAGAACTCTTTTTCTTGTCATTTCGATGTGGGATTGTACCCAAGTGTTGATGCCTAGTTACTAAATAATAAATATTTGATACTACTAAATGAGCCTTAGATGCATATCCTTGGGTTGGGCGCGTAGAATAGAATAAAACTTTAGGGAAATTTTTCACCTGTGCCATATGATTTGTAAAATATAGAGTATTTACTACCAATAACATCTTATTTGTATATTTCCCTAAAAGATATGATTTAATTAGGTCTTTACCAAATTGTAAGTTTCAAAAATCAAACTGACTTCTCCCCTTAGTTATTGGGTTATAAACGTACCATATAAAAAAAATATATATATGCTTGGTGAATGTGATAAGATTACATATTCAGTATAATCTCATAACCGTTTTGACTAACTAAATAGAAAAGCCAATGATTTTGGATTTAAAAAATAATCATCTTGCAAAAAAAATAAATAAATAAATAAATAAATACACAACTGATTGATATTGTACATTTTTAATAGAGAGTGATAAAAACATGTATTGTAATTCACGCAGCTGTCCAGTAGGTATATGTTGTGTTTATGTTAGTATATGTTTAGTATATGTTGCAATTAAAAACATGTCTTCCATCAATTTTTTTTTTTAACTTTTATACATAAAAGTATATATATAGTTTATAAACACATAGTAACAGGTTATTTATATTCCTTATATTAAAAAATTTTCTAATATACTTAACATATATTCCTTATATACACAACATATACGAACAATTTACAAAAAAATCTTATAATATATTGGTCATATACTTCATATATGTTTTGTATATATTTTCGATGATTTTACGCAAACCGTAATGGTGTTATATGTTTTGTATATATTTTTGATGATTTTACTAAATATAAACCATACATATACCGAACATATACTGAATTAAACGATATATATAACAAGGGGACAATATAAACACGATACAATGAGGGGGATGAAAAATATACCGAAAATATATTGAATATAAACCATATAAAGTAGAAAAAAATTCACACACACAAAACACCAAATTCAGATGAAATCATTGATCAAAATCTGCAAACCGTATTGATTGATCTACACATATTGTACATATACTCCAATTCAA